AAAAAAAATTCCTCTATATTATGCTACTAATGATTCAATTAAAAAAATTCTGGCATCGACCAAGGAACCATTTACTCAAGTAAAAAAAGGTGATCTACAAAAAGCTAAAGATTGTCTACACTATGCTGCTTGGAAAGGTTATGTAGAGATTACTGAAGTTCTCCTAAGAAATGGGGCAAATCCTAATGCTGCTGGTAAGAACGGCTATATGCCTTTACATTATGCTGCTCAATTTGGTAAATTCAAAATTGTACAACTGCTGTTAGATAGAAAAGCAGATCCTAATATTCAAGACGATAATGGAAAAACTCCATTGGCTTTAGCTAGGGAAGAATTAGCTCAAGATCCACAAATTTATCAAGAAATTATAGATATTCTTAAGTCTAAATCTACTAATCAACAACAAGAGACTGATCCTATACGTCAAGGAGGTAAAGTTTCAGCTGAAGAATGCTTACCAAATAATAGAAAGAAAAAAGAAGCTAAAGTTGGGAGAGGAAAAAGGAGAGGGAGAGGGAGAGGGAGAAGAAAAGAGAAAATGTTTATTCACATGGGTAGATGTGGATAAATTCAATGCTGAAAAAGGTAAAAAAGAAGACTTTAGTAAAATTAAAATAGATAGTGAAAAGTTCGTTAATTACATTAAAGATTTGCCAGAGGCGAACCAAAGTCAGCTAATTCAACTAGCAGATAAGGTCCGAGTTACAGGTGAGTCTCAAAGTTTAGTTAATAATTTAATTGGCAATAAAAAAGTCATGGGTCATCTAAATAGAATAAGAAAAATCTCCGGTATGACTATGCATGGCATGATGGCTAAAAATGTTTTAGTTGACTTTTTAAATGGTAATTATCAAGGCGTAGCAATTAATGTGAGTTTTATTGCCGGTAGTCAAGGATTTGCCAAGGTTGCTGAAACTACTTGGTAGATCTTTAAAAGCAGCATCCCCTTTTCTTGCTCGTGGAAAGTTTCATCCTTTGTTATTTATGATTTAATAAAATTTAATAAACCAGATAAAAGAATTTAAAAATGGTACTGATGAAGAAGCACTGGTTGGCATAGTAGGAGATAGTATTTACCTGAAAGTAGATAGCGTAGAGATTGGCATAGAAATCGCTGAAGCTTTTGAGGTGTTTGAAGGAGTCTCATCTGTTACTGGATCTATTGGAAGAACAATTGGAGCTGTAGTATTTGTTGACACTGATATTTATATGGCAGTGAAAAGTTGATAAAATTGATCAGATTATTCATCTCAAAGGAAATGAAAGATTTATTGAAGGGTTACGTGCATTTATCGGTACGCATTCAACTTGAAAAGCATATAGAAGAGTTAATAGAAAAAAAAAACAGCTTTATAACCAATTAGTAAAGCAAGGACTTGAGTACTTAATG